TTTATTTCGGTCAGAAAATGAAGTTTATTTATCATTAACAAAAGATTTTCACTGGCATAAAGCATGAACATCAAAGATTCATCTCAATATCCATTTTATCATTTTATAATTTCACCCCACTCTAATATTTTCCTTTTGACATTTCAAATAAAATATATTTTCAAGGGAATTGAAATACTGTCATTCCAAAAGAGCCCTTTGAAATAGATTACTCCAGAATAAGCAATCTTGTTGCTGATTCCAAATAACCAACCTGAATATACTCATTTTGGTTGAACTTTGAAATGTGCCATAATGTGAATTCTATAAATGTGAACATTTTCCGAAGAGCCACTTTTCTTAATCTATTGCAGCAAAAAAAAAAAAAAAAGGCTTCAAAGATTTAACAGCAGTTAAAATTAGCAGTTTATGGTGCCATAAGAAATTTTAAATGTGAATATAATAACGGTCTCTTAAAATTCATTTTATTCTGTAGTGTGACTCTTCATTTGTATATTGCAGTATAGTTTCAGTGCTGGTCCCCTTTGTAAATCACTGATTGATTGATTTTACTCTCTTTTAATGAGGAATCCCTTTGCAAGGTGAATTTAAAAATCAGTAACCAATAAAATTTCATAAGTTTTACATGCCGGTTTTGTTTTTGATTTGGGATTCTGGCAAAAAAAAAAAAAGAGGTGCTTTTTCTAATATCCTGCAAAGGAGAACTTTAAAAATTCAGGAACAGCATTGAACACCAGCACAACTCATTTGCAGCTTCAGTGGCAACAGTGATGGAACTAAGAAATAGACTAAGAAAAGGAATGTACTAGGGAAAAATGTTCAGGTGTTTTGAAGCCCATTGCTTTTGTGTTCCTTTTCATTTTACTCATGGACAAGGTCTCTTAACACCTATTTTGGCAACAAGGACAAAGCAGCGTATGGGTCCAAAATCAGACCAGCCAGCCCCAATGCTGCTCCCCCACACTCCGCCAAAAAAATTTCCAAGCTATTCAGAATCCCACCACACAAAGCTAGGAAACTTTACAGAAAAGGAAGGAGGCATCTGGAGTCATTTCAGCTTTTCTGCCCTTCCTGTCTCACACATTCCCTTAGCCTTACAGACAATCTTCTGTAGGGTCCAGTCACCTTCCTCTGACCCTTCCACAGATGCCAGGTATTGAATTTAAGGAATTAGGTGACCTGTCCCCAGGTGAGCTGTTGGTTCTCTATAACCCCCTAAAAAAGAAAGATGTTTTCTCTTCCATTGAGGATAACTTCAGTGAGGGTTCCTTGGTGCCTTCTGAGCATGGTTATTTTTTCTTGCAGATGTTTCATTGCCCATACTAGGTAATGAAACATCTGCAAGAAAACAACAAAGCTCAGAGAGTACCAAGGACCCGGTACTACAACCCGGAGCTACAAATATTCTCTTCTCTCGGTAACTTCAATGAGTTATCCATACTCGTCCCTCTCTGTAGAGATGACTGACAAGAAAGTTTGTTCTTCTAATTAATTCTCAGCTGAATTTAGTTATTCTCATACAAGCCTTCTGCTTACTAAAGATTTCATTCTGAGAAAGCTAGCACAGTTTTTTTTAAATTAAATGGTCAGAAGAAGTACCATACTTGAAATTACTGCATATGTGCAATCTATTTACCTTACCTTATTTAAATTTTGCCCCCCCCCCAAATTCTGTATTATTTGGGGACCAAAGCCTAGGACAATGAGAAAGAGGGAAGATTTACTTCCATTTACATTTAAGCTTTCCCAATCTGGCATGCAATATATTGCAGATGTATTACAACTATGACTTTTATCCCCCCCCCAACCACTATGTCACTGAGGACAATGGGCTCTGTAGTATAAGAAAATAGCTTCAATGTAATGAAGACTGTTAGGAAGGCTGGGAATAATAAGAGGTTAGTAGTGTAGCATATCTGAAGCACCAAATTGGGAAATATTATTTTGGAATACCCAGTTCCACTCATCTTCATCATCTTTGCAACTTCACCATTAAATATCTTTCAGTGTTCCTTCAATCTTGTACATTGCCATGGGAATCTCTATGAAAAAGCAGCAGAATATGTTATGCTCAATAAATAAATACATTTCTTAAGTAAATGTATTTCTTCAGTTTGTGTCTTACTATAGAAATGCCCTAGAGAAAAGGTAGGGCTATTAAAGAAAAATATTTTTTTTTCCAGAGGAAACCCTCCCCTAAAATTGGAAACTCTTTGCACAAATTGAAAATAAGCCCAATCCAATACATGAAATCTTCCGGATCCATTAGATCAGTTCTGAATGCAAAATTGTGTGAGGATTACAAATATTTTCTTGGTGTCATCAGCAAAATTTTGTTTCTCCCGTGTGTCTGGATTTCATTGGGTCTTTGCAACTACATGTCGGTATTGCTCACTGATTTTGTTTCACTGAAGAAAGAAAAAGAAGAGTGTTTTGTCAAGCGTTGTTATTGCCACAACTTTCTACACACACAATGGAAGTGAATTCCAACCACTGCTAA